TATGGTTAACAAAAAGTGTTTAAATCCTGATAAATCTTTATTTGATGATGATGGGCCTGTCCTGCTAAACTAACGGGTTTCTATACTCACTTAATTAGGAAATTTGGATCATTTCATTTGCAGCAATATTCATATTACAATAAACATATTTGAATATGTGAATTTTAAAAGCTAGTATTTTTACAATTCCAACAGCATGAAAATTAACGTTATTTGTATTGTTCAGCTCACACTAGTCTAACAATCCAAAAATATATGTCTTTTGAAACAAACATGAAAATAAGGCCCTTATAGTCAGTTATTTAAAACACTTGACAATATGAATTTCTTATTTATCTTTATGGACAATTCATAAAGAACATTAATCCAACAATGTTTACTAAGTTGTAAAAATTATTTGTAGTTTTGAGGGAGGGCTAGCATATGCCAATTATTATAACATCTTGCATGCCAGCACCACTTGGTAGTAAACAAAGCAATAAAACACTGCCAGACAAGTAAACAACAAAATTCTTAATTAGAGACTGCTACTAAATTCTGAGAGCATTTTCTACCGGTCTGTGAGTTGGAAAACACTCATCTTCCTTTTCCTTAGGTTGTGTGGAAGTAGTTAGGACATAATAGATCAAGAGCAGCTTTTCAAACAAAGCAGGAGAACAGAAAGGGTTTTAAGATGGAAAGAAGGGTGCATTTTATTGGAGTACAAAACTGACTTTTTCCAAGATTTGCAAAGGCACCATTATTTTTCCAGGTGCTCTATCTGTAGCTACAGAAACCAAAGGCTTATCTAGCGAAAAGATTACAGTGTCATACAGTATCCCAGACTTCACAAAATCGAGAAACTAACACATAAAACTCCTTTCTTCTTCTAATAGAGAATAAAGCCTCTGAGCCACTGAAATGTCACACTGCATTCAACCTTGGATGTTATTTTCGTTTCTTAACCCTTCTTTGAGTGGTATAAGGGCAAGATTGACATTTCAAGGAAAAAATGATATTTTGGAGCAATCTCCACATGTAAGCAATGCAGTGGTTGATGCTCCCTTGTTAGACTTAGTCCCATACAGCAAATGGAAATGAAGAGGAAGCAAATTTTTTTGACAGCAACTAATTTTAATGGCCACTTACCAAAGTACAGTTTTAAAATAGAGAGCGCTAGGGAACAAGCACCAGGATTACTGGATTGCAAAAGGCCAATGTTTCCTCATCTTTGTGCAGTTGCTTATGTATAAATACAGATGAAAAGTTGGATTGTGAAGAAACCTAGACCTGTAAATCACTTGAAATAAAATTCACAATACCTATTGTAAAAAATGATGGTGTGGGAAATCTTATAAAAAGAAGTGTACGGTCTAAGAATGTAGGATGTATCTTAAGGATACAACATCTTGGGAAATTCCACTACTAGTGGAATTAGGACCGCTGGCATTTCTTTATTTTTTCCAGCCTGAAATTTCAGTAGTGAAAAATAGAACATGGAAAGATGATATGGCAAGATGATTTAATTGACATATGACTAATGGCCTTTAAAAATGCTAAGTTTTTTTAAAAAAAAAAACAACTAAACTCTGAAAATAGACCATGCAATAATGATAGTTATGTGATAAGCAAATTTTTTAAGGCAACCAGAACACCAGCTCCATTTATTACACTGGATGTTTTTGCACTATTGACTGGAAAACTATTTGAGTTGAAGTATTTCTTTCCCAATTGCACTAGTACTGTTTATTGTTACATAGTACCTTTTATTCTATGATGTAAAAATCACTTTAACATAAACCTGTAATGACTCTATTTCTGTTTTATTTTACATGTGAGAAAACAGTTCCAGAGAGAGATTGACGTGCCCAAAACCACACAGTAAACAAATGGCAAAAAAAAAAAAAGGTCACAGATAGTCCCAGAAATTGTACAGCCCTTGTGTATATGACTTCAAAGCACTTACCTTCTCATACGAAAACATAGGTATAATGTTGACTTTTAAGAAAAAGACATCAGTTGACGATACTGATACATTGTTCTGTGTAATGAAATGCTACTGTATTCCTTGAAGGAAATATGGTGCTGTGCTAAATAACTTGCGTACAAAGTTACTGATATTCATACAGAGCCAGAGTAAGCATTAAAATGGTTATAAACAATACCTCATTTTCCAAACTAAAAGCATGTTGCATTTTTCAGCTAATGCAGTTCAGAATTTTTGCTGGTTGATTTTGCCTTTTAAATGTTCACTCTCTTCAGTCTGAGTAATAAAGATGTACTAGTTTGTTCTAACTCTAATTTTAACATATGTAATTCCTTGTAATTTCTTTTGAAAAATTGAATTGTTACATTTTTTAAGTTTTCTGCAAAACTTAGAATAGAAGAAAATTCAAAAGTTGTGTATTTGATTTCGTACATGTTCTTCTATGGTTTTCATTAAGGTTTTAAGAATTAGGATCTCTTCAGAGCAAAATAAACACATTATGGAAAAATGATTCTATAGATACAATTTTTGCACATTTGAGCCATTGATGTTTAATACTATTCCTAGTATACAATGTATTTTCTGAACAGTTCTATACACAATTTTTTCCACCCTCTCATATTCAGAGTGATTTGGGGGGTTCTAAAAGACAAGCTTATCACCCTAGACCATAATAAATCCATGGTAATCCATTAAGAAATGTTCCTCTGACAAACAGGTTAAATAAAGGAGAACTATTAAAAAGTCTTAATATGAAAAGGGAACTGAAATACTTCAAAAAGGACTGGTGTCCTTTTGTATTAAGTATTGGGGCTTATTGCAAGTTACTAGCTTTACAAGAATACTAAGAAGAGATTTTGCATTGCTTTCCATGAAAAAAAAAAAGCAGTGGACCGAGAACTTGAAATGAAAGTCATGGAAAGACCAATCTTTTCTGGTATTTCTTGAACTTAACACGTAAAGCAATTTGTTACAATTCACTTCATGTTTCCATAATATAGCTGTTTGTTTCATTCAAAATGTTTAACTGTGAGAATTTATTTTTGCTAAGAAAGTCATGGAAAGGTCAGTTTTATTGAGATTCTCTAGTCCACTTTGCTATAGTACTACTAAAAAGGAGGCATATCTGAAGCATTTCTACCAATCCTATAAAATGAAAATAAAATCCACTGTCCCCCCCTTAACTGTAAAGCAGCATGTCTTGTCAAAACAACATTGTTGCATTTATAAAAAGAATGGGAGTTAAAAACACCAAAGAGCTGCTCATACAGTATTTTAAATTCCTATTTAAATAGGCATCATAACAATTATTATTTAAAATTTTAAAATGGCCCCAAAACCCTAACAAAAAATGAAGTGTATTTTCTGTTCCCACCTTGACTTGTCATTCCATAATCACTTGTGGAATAATGTTGAATAAACTTAAACCAAACATTACAATCTACAAAAATTAAACTTCTTTGCATTCAGAAAACAGAAACGCATTCAGTCTTAAAGACTGAAACCCCTAGATTCCTAGTGCTTTTCTATAAAAGGAATAAGAATGTACTGAAAAGACCATTAGATAGAACATCTATTCATTTTTGAAACATATGATATGTTCTTTCAAGTCTTACATAGTGAAAAAATTGACATCATTAACTTTGGACAAGCATGAGTTCACACAAGTCAGAGAAAGGTGTAGCAACAGAATGGCCCTGTGAAAACCAAAGATATTAAAAGCCAAATTTGAAAGATTACTGATGTGAAAGTGTAGTTCTAATTTAGTATTGCTGAACCCCTTTTTATTTCTCAGTTATATATGAAGTGGAAATGAAGCCAATGTTAGGTAGAGATAGACCAAATGCTGCCAGAGAATATGTAAGTATATCTTGCTCAGATTTATGGCCAAGGCTCCATAATAAAGAATACAGTGTGTACCAGAGAAACACACAAAGCAATTTTCGTTCAGAAAGGATTCTACTATTTATTCATCGAGCATATCATGCTTTAAAAATCTGAGTATTCAGGAAATCAAAAATCTACAGACTAACTGAGCATTAAGTATTGTCCCTCTGCCCACCTTTCTCTCAATAAATCCTTTATTCACCATGTCCGCTTAATATTCAAATACAAGCGTGTGGCTTTCTACTAAAAGGAAGTGGTTCCACCTACTAAAAATGAAGACTGAATAATAAATTGATCGATCAAATATCCTACTGATTTTTGACAGAGAAATTGATTTTAAAACATGCCCGTGATAACCATGAAGAGCAAAATAGGCATTGCTGAGCTACACGCTGCAAAATAAATCTACAGCTGATTTAACAGGGAACAATAGACTAGTAGATGCCGGACTCCTCCCTCTGGCTAAGAAACCATTAGCCTATTTTTTCACCTAAGCCCATTCAAGCCAGCAGGACCCCAGCCCCGGGTTTGCCAGGCTGTCTCCCACCTCCCAGAGCTCTCGTTATTTTAACTTCGTGCCAACAGCACATGAGCTGCCTCCATTCCCGCTCGGCACCAGCGCTGCAGGTTCCCGGGGAGCGCGGGCAAGCTCCAGCCAGGAGGGGCGACCAGGGAGGCGGCGGAGCGGAGCGGGGCGGCGGCGGGGAGAAGCGGGGCTCCGGCGAAGTGCAGGGCCCCGGTGCTGCCGGCCGCCCCCCAACCAGCCGCCCCCTTGACGGCTCTGCGCCGGCACAGACACGGCCCCGCTCCCACCCACGTGTTTTCGGGATTGCTTTTCCACCCACAGACAGGCGGGTGGGGGACCGGGGGCACCGACCGCTCCAGGCGAGCCCTGCCCGGGGACCCCGGGGAGGCCAGCTGCCCCGCTCCCCGCAGCCCCTCAGCACGGCAGCCCAGCCCGGCCCCACCTCCCTTTTGGAGCCTCCGTGTCCCTTTCTTCTCCTTCCCGCCGCGGGGAGCGGGTTCGGTCGGACGGGGCGGGGGGGTCCCGCTGTGCCCACACCTCAGCGGCCCCCGCCGGCTTCCCTCCCCGCCGCCGGCAGCAGCCATGGCGGGCGGGAGAGCGGCACCCCGCCGCCGCGCCCCCCGCACACACACACACGGCCGGAGCGGTGGGCCAAGCCCTCTCCTACCGTCTGAGTCCCTGGAAGGAGGAGGGCCAGGACATCCGCGATTTCTTCAAGCCGGGCCGGTGTCCGGTCTCCACGGCGTAGGAAGCGCGGTCCATGGCTCGGCAGTAGAGGTATCGCTCCGTGTCGGAGTAGCCGCGGTGCCTGACGCGAGCCCCGGCCATGCAGCGGCCCCGGGAGGCGGGCGGCGGCGGCGGCGGGCCGGGGGGCTGCTGGTGCTGGAGGAACTGGTGCTGCCGGAGCTGCGGTGGGTAGTGCTGCTCGTGTCGCCACAGATGCTTGGGGGCTTTGAGACCCCCGCTGCCCCCGGCGCCGCCGTCGTTGCCGCCGTCGCTGCTGCTGCTGCTGCCCCCGCAATTTTAAAGATCTTTTCTAGTTGTTTGATCAGAGCTATTGGTTCAGTACTGAAGATACCCAGGAATTCTACAACTGGGTATTTTAGTTTTATACTTTACACGCCTCCCGGCCACGGGGGAGGGGAGGCGGGGAGAGGGGGAGGAGGAAGAAGAAGAGGAGGAAGGGGGGGGAGGGCTGGCTTCCCGCTCGGAAATATTTAAACCCGGGCTGGAGCCGACGCGGGGGAGAGCGGAGCCGGCAGCGGGGAGGGTGCGCTGCGATCGGCTGGGGTGTGCGGGGGAGCAGGGAGCGGCGAGGGGCTCTCCCTGCCGCGGCCTCCTCCTCCCCGGGCTCCCCGGGGGCTCCTCTCCCTCCGCACCACCGGCCGGGCACGGAGCTCCTTCTGCCAAGCGACGGCAGGTGGTGGCAAAGTTGCTAACGCTCCGGTTCACCGGGAACTTTGCAGCGGGTTAAAAATGGACTCCAACTCCCCAAACTCATCCTCCCGCCGCGCCTTGTTCCCTGTATCATGCGTTCAACCTTTGCCATGTCAGGTTCAGAAATCGTGTGTTCCCCCCCGACG